CATTCCGTGATTCTATGATTTCCATGAAGATACAAATGAACCAGATCAGCACGCAAAAGACAGCCGCGCACACAGACGTGTGTGCATCACCCCAAGGCAGTAATAGCATGGTTTCTCTTCCAGGTGAATTACTGCTTCCTAAAGCTTCTGTAACATTCTACTGGAGTATCGGAAGGTCAGTTCTGCTGGTATCTCTTCCCCAGGATATAAACCAGAAACCTGGGCAGGGCACTTGAGCGATGTCAGTTAAACTAAAATTATAGCATCGTGAAGTCCAAATTGCACAGGAACTGTGATCAGCATCAAGAATGTAAGCTGTTTGAAGAATAGGGATCCATTTATGTCTCCGAGAAGGAAAAGCTGCACAAAGTGGCTATTTCAATTCTTGATTCACTCTATCCATGGCTGTACAACAACAGCTTCCGACCTTTCTGCTGAAAACAAACAAGGCTCTTACTTTCAATATTGATGCTTTCCGCAAATTGCTACTTGCACCTTAATTTACTGATTTTGGATTGTTGCTACTCATCTCGCCAGATGCTTCACCCCGACGCAATGTTCCTTCTCCATAACTAACGTCTGCCTTCCGCTTTGCTAAACCCTGTCCCAGGGGATAGGTCAGTGTGATGGTTTCTGTTTCGCGGGAAGAGAGGAGTTAAGTGACTCACCTGAGAGAACACAGTAACCAGCAGAGACAGAAGCACAACTCCTATTTTCCCTTCCGTGTTCACCGGTGAGAAAAACACCGCGTGGCTGTGTGTTGTGAACCTCCCGAACTGGGAACAACAGTTACGGTGCATTTATGTGCGTTTACATACACCGGCAGCGTAACCGTGTGCAGGGCACGTGCATTATTCTCACATACGTGAACACATCATCTGATTGGGGAAATTAGGAAGAATATCATCTCCCTCCCTTTACTTCCATAGGCTGCTAGCAGGGGCGCAGACGGATGTGCATTTATCCACAAATACCTACCCAGAGGGAGAGGAAATGGAAAGGTGAGGGAAAATAACAGAGTCAAAGGAGCAACTTAAATTCTCGAGATAAAGCAAAGTTGCCATAGCAACTGCTTTTCCCATGGTACCGCTCAACTTGATGGACGCGACAGGTTTCTGATGCATCCCGCACCGCTTAATACTTTTCCCAGGCAGCAAGCTATCGCCTGCCAGAAATAAATCACGCAGCGTGCTCTAGGTAGCAGGAAGCCTTTCACCTTCTGCAGAACTCCCTTGGCAGGCCCGAAGCACTGCCCCTGCTGGGTACGCTCCTACGCGTCTACTTACATCTTCGTACATCGACAGACTGGCCCGTCAAACGGATGTTCACACACCCTACCAGAAACACAGAGTCCGAGAGGGGTCTGCGCCACGCGAGGGGTCAGCAGACAAACCCCGGGACTCCCGTTTTTCCAGCGCGCATTAACGCGCTCAACTTAAAACACTCTGACACCCATAGCGGATTCGGAGGTAGCGGTTCAAATGACGGCAAACTCAGAATTGCTGCCCAATCACCGTTCCTCTCCCCTTAGCAGGAAACTTCCTTTAAGGATCTGTATTTGATGACTGCTCACGGTGGGAACTGAACGAGAACACGCAAGTGGAGAGGCCCATTATACCGCAACCTATTACACTGTATTATTTGAAATCGCTGCTCTGTGATTCGAAACATCAGGTAGTTTATGGTTTTGTTACCAACCTGAGCCGCCCAGTTAACAGGAATCAGGGCTGAGAAAGGGGCATGCAAACATAATACTCTTCCCCATCGCTCTTCAGGAACAAGGCCGTTCGGCCGCAGCAGCAGTCAGCTCAACTCTTTGCAGATTTATTAACGAGCTACCACACGAGCCAGTCACTCGTTTTTAGAGTTTGGAAAGTTTAAAACTCGTCAAGGACAAATTGCTGCAATTATGGGAAGGCTGCCAAGTCAGCTGACCAGCTGTTACGGCAAAGGATGGAAATGCCGATTCAACAACCCTTACACTACTGCCCATGGCTGCCATGCACCCGCTGGCTCTAGCCGCTTCCCGCTTTGCTTCCTTCACTTCCTTTTCTAGTGGGAGAACTGGATAAAATCCCTTTAGAAACCCCAGTCGCAGCTCTCGAGACATCTCTGCTTCACGGTTCCCTTCATTTCGCAACTTCGCAGTTCTCTCCGCACCAGTGTCACAAATGTTCTCGCAGCTGACAATTAAACGAGGCTTCGTCTTCCAGCCAGCTCCTCACCATCCCTGACAGATACCAACAAGGCATCCTCCCACCCCCCCTTAAGAGACCCGTGCTTACCCTCACCCAGTCCTCCTGCTTCCTTTCTAGCTTGTAGCCATGACAACAGGAGGATGGATGTCAGCCTTCCTCACAAAGACTCTGGGGATGGGCATTTCAACATGAGCCGTCTGAAAATCCCAAGTGGCTGGGAAGTGAAAGGTCCTCTTTCAAGGACTTCACGCAATTTTCGTCCCGGGGTTTCTTTACAAGAATTTGCTGGCAATGGAAGGTATTTGAAATAGGAATCCCAGCAGAACAACCATACTACATTCCTTTCCTTAGCAGGCTGCTCACTAAAGGAGGATGTTTGAACCCAAACTTGGAGGTACATTTCTGGAGCTATTAGATGTCGTTCTCCTTCCGCGTACTCCACCCCAAACTCTTCAGCCTGGAGAACAGGAGGCTCCAGGGAGACTTTATTGCAGCCTTCCAGTACCTGAAGGGGCTACAAGGAAGCTGGGGGGGACTTTTTCCAAGGGCCTGTAGTGACAGGACAAGGGGTAATGGGGTTAAATTGAAAGTGGGGAGGTTTGGATGGATATCAGGAAGAAGTTCTTCATGGAGAGGGTGGGGAGCACTGGGACAGGTTGCCCAGAGAAGCTGTGGATGCCCCATCCCTGGGAGTGTCCAAGGCCAGGCTGGATGAGGCTTGGAGCAACCTGGTCTGGTGGAAGGTGTCCCTGCCCATGGCAGGGGGTGGGACTGGGTGGGCGTTAAGGTCCCTTCCAACCCCAACCATTCCATGACGCAGTGCAACCAGTGGCATCACATTAGAAAAACCATTATCACTCCGTTTAGGGAAGTTACCATCCTTACAAAGGGCACCACTATGAAATAATAAACTTCAATCAAAGGCCAGCTTCCACTTCAAAGTCATCCTACCCCTCTCTATCCCTTCCCCCTGCACCCAGTTAATCACAAACGAAAGCCTATAAACAGGAAGGCAGATCCTCAGAAACGCAACCACTCCCGCACAGGGGCGGGCTGTAAACCTCACCCGCATGCTGCCTACGGAGACCTCCCATCGGATGGTTATTCCCAAGTAAATTTTACCGTATCAACTCCAGCAGACTAATGTGAAACCCACACACAATACAAACCCTAAAACTCCCTGTGCGGTGTCCCGTTCGTACCAGTGGGTTTTGTCCCCAGGCCTCCACACAAGTGGAGAAAAGGGAGCACGCGGCGACTAACACGGGCTCAAGGTTTGGCCTAACATGGTGAAGCCGTATCCGTACAGGCAGAATGTTGCTTTGGGCACCTCGCACCTTTGGGCATCTTGATTTTTTTTTTCCCATTTCCCCATATTTTTAAGTAAAATAATTAAACTTAATTGGTATAAAAGGTAACTAAAATCTCCATCTCAATTTCCTTAAATGTTAACAACTAAGGTATTGCTCATCAGCTTCACTTGGTCCATTAAACCTGACTATGAAACCTAATTATGTCTGTAAAGAGTTTAGAGATCCTCAAGAGGCAGCACATGTATTATTAGTTTTAATCGTGTAACTCCTCAACAATGGGAGTTTAACGAGCAAAGTCTAAGGCAGCCATCGTCTCCTCATCCCTTGGTTTACAGTCACCGCCTGCAAGACAGCGCCCGTTACAGGGAACGTGCCCAGCTACGCCATCCTTGTTCCTTACTCCCGCTACCTACTCCGCTGAGGTGTGAGCGCGGGCATGCTAGCAGGGTTACCTGTACACCAGTATGTCGTCGGTGGAACTGTTATACTGGATCTGGTACATTCGAATCCCAGGGAGGTGGTGCTGAGAAGGCCACCGGATAAGAGCAGAGGATGACGTCAGCTCAGCAACCACGACCGCCTTCTCTTGCTGAGCCTTCGTTTCGTTTGGAAAGCTTGACTTGGCAGAAATGAGAATATCTGAGGGGCCGGGCTCCGCGTCCTTATCGCAGTTGGTGCTGTTGGCAAGGTTAGGGTACGGCGTGACGAGGAGCTCGACTGGAGCCGTCGACTCTCCCGCAGCATTCGATGCTATGCAGGTAAACGTGCCCTTGTCAGTCAAAGAAGTGACCAAAATATCCAGAGTACCATTCTCATAAGAAATCGTCCTAGACGTGTTAGAGACCAGCTTCCCGTCGGGTGAGATCCAGCGAACGTAGGGATCTGGATCGCCAACAGCTTTACACTTCAAAGAGATGCTTTGGCCTTCTGTTGCCGTTAATTTTGGGGTTCGGTGCGTTATCATCGGGGGTTCACAGACAAATTCTTCCTCTTTAATAGACCAAAAGTATTTGCCCATCAGTTCGGGTGGAGAGGCGCAGGTTTCTAGATCATCTTCTCTGGTGAGGCGCCTCAGCCACACGAGTTCGCAGTTGCAGTGCAGAGGGTTCCCTCCGAAGCTCAGCACCAGGGACGACAGCGGGGATCCTTTAGACTTGGCGTACACCGGTATTCTGGAAAACAAAGGATCGGGAGGGATCTTTTTCAGCTTGTTGGAGGTCATGTCTAGACGGGCAAGTTTGTGAAGGTTCGAGAAGATTCCCTCCGGCACAAACTCAATGAGATTATGATCCAGACTGACCGTATTGACATTGGAAAGTTTGGCAATTGTTTCCCAAGGAACGTTAACAAGATTGTTGTAGGACAGATCCAGGTCTTCAATTGTTTCAATAAAGTCATCCAGTGACCCAGGGGAGATATAGTTTAACTGATTGTTACTGAGTATTAAATGTCGAAGGTTAATTAAACCCTTGAAATGATCTTCATTGATGTAAGTCAGTCTGTTACTATCCAAGTGTAAGGCATGGAGGCCTTTGAGATCAAAAAATGCGTAAGGCATGATTTGACTTATCGTGTTCCTTGATAGCGTCAAGTGAATCAGATTAGTCATGTTTGCAAAATCTTTCCTCCTAAGCGTAGTGATAAAGTTATCCATTAACCTCAATTCTGCTGTTCTCCTGTCAATGCTGGGGGGCACAAAGAGAAGCCCCGTCTTTGTACAGAGGATTGTGAAGGACGGAGACAGGTTTTGACACATGCATCTTTTGGGACACATCATGGCCTTCACGGCTGTGCTAATAACCAGTAGATAGACAACCAGCCTTTCCATCGTCAGAAAAATAACAGACCTGAAGGGGGAGAAAAAGGGAGAAAAGAAATCCATGTAAATATGCTTTAATAGGGCATTAGAAATAGGTTGATATTGACGTTTCCATTACACGTCCACCTGTGCAAACCGGAAACACCTTCCGAGACAACAACGAAATCACCTGCTAGTATTAACTTGTATGTTTTTAGAGCTAAGAGCTTCTAGTTCCGTGCCGGTTTGGCTCTGCTCTCCTGACAGCAACGTGGTAGATGGACTGTGAGGCAACAGCCCGTCACTCTGCTGCTCTGGGATGCCTGTTAGTGCATCTACCCACTGGCAGCTCTTCACCGCCAACAGTGTTGACAGTCGTACTTTAATCGGCGGAACAAAGCGAGATGCCAAGCTGATACTGGGTGAGAGGAATAAGCAAATAAATGCACACGATCTTTTGGGGGTAAAAGTGTCGTCCTACGTAATATTTCATTGTGGATCTGACTGTTTGCTTGGGTCAGAACCTCATTCCGACCTGCAGATCGCTTCATTACTTTGTGATTACGCTCCCCTCACTTCTCTTGCCATTACAGGTGTCCGACAGCTTACCCTTCGGGCTCATCCATCCCCCTCCCCACACCCACCGGTACCCAACAGCGAGCTCGTTGCAGAAATGCATGTTTTATGGACAAGGGTTTTCATTCCCAGGAGGCAGCAGAGGTCTAAAACTTCTACAGCAAACAGAGAGAAGCCCCTCCAAGGGTATTTCTGAAAAGCAAGGCTGTGTTCAGTCAGAGAAGCGGGTATGTGGGGTTTTTTTCCCTGTGCCACACAGGTAGCAGCCTTAGAAAAATAAATTTCATAATTGCACACGGTTTTGGTCAATGAAATGATCTCCGTGAAATCTTGCGCATGCCAAGTCATTTCCCATTGTATCCCAAGTGCTTGCTTGCCACACCAAGTGTAGATTTTTCATTTCTACTTTACCTCCAGCTGGCTGGAAAATCGCTAAGCATGAAGCGTGGTGACTCAAGCAACCACGAAGCCTAAAAATCCCCAATCCGTACCGTAAAGGACTCAAACTACGCGTCTGGTGTGAGTGTCCTGGTATAACCCAATTCCAAACTCCAGCTGGCGAATCCTACTCCAAAAGGGCAGTGGGCTTCCTGCAAATGAGCGCACGTGGGTTTGCTTCACGCATGAGCTCTGGCGCACCAGAGACCGCAGTGGATGGAAGTGGGTTCCACGTGACAGCGCCGTCACGCAGCAGGCGAGCGCCGTGTGGAGACCATCAACCCTTGCGAACAAGGAATGCAACCGGGCACGGTCCTCAGGTCGCACAAAGCTGGGGACAGCAGCAGGACCTGCTGAGTCAGCTATCCATCAGAGAGACCACCCAAGCCTTCGACTGCAAGGGCACAGTTTGCTATAAGGCAGAAGATTCTTACCGAACGTTTGCGGGTTTGGGGTGATTTGGGGTTTTTTGGTTGGTTGGTTGGGTTTAATGGCTTAATGACTATTTAGTGATTTAATGAAGACAGGCTGGGAGAGTTGGGGGGTTCAGCCTGGAGAAGAGAAGGCTCCAGGGAGAGCTTATAGCACCTTCCAGTACCTGGGGGGGCTACAAGGCAGCTGGGGGGGACTTTTTACAAGGGCCTGTAGTGACAGGACAAGGGGTAACGGGTTTAAATTGAAAGTGGGGAGGTTTAGATTAGATATCAGGAAGGAATTCTTCCCGCAGAGCGCGGGGAGGCACTGGGACAGGTTGCCCAGAGAAGCTGTGAATGCCCCATCCCTGGAAGTGTCCAAGGCCAGGCTGGATGAGGCTTGGAGCAACCTGATCTAGTGGAAGGTGTCCCTGCCCATGGCAGGGGGGGGGACTGGGTGGGCTTTTAGGTCCTTCCCAACCCAAACCATTCCATGATTCTGTGATTCCTCCGAGTTTGAGCTCCTTTATAGGACAACAGGAATTTGAGATACAGAATTACCATACCACAGTTGCAGAGTCTGGGCAATCCGTTTTAGATCCAATCTAAAGCTCCACAGAGGGTAAACAAATTCAAATCAGCCCATGACATGTTTCATTGCTTCAGTTCAGAGAGCACGGCACTCAGTCTAAGCATTTTCACCAGCGCCACGCGTTCACCTACGAGGGGTTAGTCTTCAGGCGTATGCGGTTCTGCTCCAGCCTCGGCAAAATACGTTGCAAAAAATCAAGAGACAAACCAATCAACCAGTCCCTGTCCAAAACCTATGAATGTTGGAGCACGGGCAGTATGAGAGGCTGAGCGGACAGGGCTTCATCGGCCTGGAGAAGAGAAGGCTTCAGGGACAACCCATGGCAGGAACCGTCTTGTACCTGCAAGGACTTTATCAGGGGATGCAGCCAGGCTCCTCACAGTGGTTTGTGATGGGAGATCAAAGGACAAGGGGCAGAAATTAGTACAATTGAGATTCCACCTGAATACCAGGGAAAAAACCGTTCCACCGCAAGGAGCATGGAACAGGTTGTCCAGAAAAGGTTGTGGGTCCTCCATTCTGGGATGAGGTGTCTGGACAAAGCCCTGATCCCAGAGCTGACCCTGCTTTCAGTAGGAGATGGGACTCCAGGCCCTCTGAAGCTTCTTCCCACCCACGTTATCCTACAAACTGTGAATAACTACAGATTTTCCCATTTCAGCGGCAGCTCTACAAACCGTAGCCTATGCCTGTCTGATTTTCAGTGCTGGTTTCAAATTCTGACTCTGAACATCACTTTTTATAGGAACGCCTGAGGAACCTGAAGGTGCTCGAGTCCATGGGACCTGATGGAATACATCCGCAGGCCCTGAAAGAACTGGCGGATGGAGCTGCGAAACCTCTATCCATCATATCTGAGAAGTCGTGGGGCTCTGGTGAAGTTCCCACTGACTGGAAAAGGGGAAACATAACCCCCATCTTTAAAAAGGGAAGGAAAGAGGACCCGGGAAACGACAGGCCAGTCAGTGTCAGCTCTCTGCCTGGCAAGATCATGGAGCAGATCCTCCTGGAAACCATGCTGAGGCACATGGAGAATGAGGAGAGGATTGGTGACAGCCAACACGGCTTCACCAAGGGCAGATCGTGCTGACACACGAGGGTGTCCCTGCCCATGGCATGGGGGTTGGACCTGGATGATCTTTAAGGTCCCTTCCAACCCAAACCATTCCATGATTCTACGTAGAAAATGACCCATTTTCTGTTAAGAACAACTGAGTTACAGGAAAACAAATCCTACAATAGCGTTTGCAGGAAACCAGTTCCCTTTATAGGTATTGTTTTTCCTAAGGCCCATCCTCTTGGCAATGTCTTGCTCCCCGACCATTCCTTTCTCAACAGCTGTTACCACATTCGATATCGTGCACAACAAGCCTCATCTTTCAAACACCTGCTTTTTTAAGAAACCCACGTCTACTGTCACTCCATCCTGCGCTCCAAACCCTTCTGGCCTCTAATGGCTCCATCTTTTCACCCCTGCTAGGTAGAAATGATTAATGGATGCGCAATTACCCCAAAACAGGCTGCTGCGCAACACCGTAATTCCCTTGTTTTGTCATTAGCAAATATTAATGCAATTTTAGTGGATTAACTGCTATCGGGGTGGTAACAAACCAGGACAAAACCACCTCACTTAAACCATTATCCTGTTAAAAAATAATTAAATGTTACTAATGTGAAGCCACGGCACTAAAATTAATGATTTTGGAGCCAATAATGAGCAGAGTGCAATTACTCTTACAAACTACTTAACGGTGGCAAGGAAATTGTGACTCGTGAAAAAAGCTGGCTGCCAGTGAATTACCACGACTGCTCTGGGTTCATTTTAAATGCAGGTTTGGCGCTATCACCTGAAATCTGCATCAGGAACGTACCTGCCGGCACGATAACACCGTATTTTTAAAGCCAGTTTAGTCCGTGCTACCTCAACAGGGGCAGCAAAATAAATACATTTCAGGCTCATACGGCTACGCACAGATAGGACACGGGGAAAAAAAACCCTTCTCCGAGCTGCTGCTCATTGACTCATTTCCTCATTCACCATCTGCACGGTTGCAGCTTAAAGTTCACGCATAAAAAACCAACCTGGTTGAGGTAATCCTTTAATTCTAAAGTAATAAAGACTTGCAGAACTGTTGCCGTTGGAAGGGACCTACAATGGGGGGGTCGTGTTCAAAATGTGCACAGAGACAGGGGTTTTTTTGCTGGTTTCCTACAGCAAAACGTTGCCAGTTTGTCTATCACCTGCGGTCTAAATGGCATTTAGTCAGGGATATTGAATTCCAACAAGTC